GAAACCTAGGTAGGTTTGTCTGGCTCACTAGGTTTGATTAGGTCTGCTCTACTTTTGCATTGATCTCTTTAGTTAGTTTAGTTGGGTCGGTTTTTTTTTTCTTTGGGCTTCAAACCTGTATCTGTGCGATGTTTTTGACAGACTTTCATGTTCCTGGCTCTTTTTTTTTAAAACCTTTTTATCTTCGAGATTATTGGCAAATCAAAAATTGAAGGTTTTTTCGAGAGTTAGTATAGTTACCTATATATATATATATATATATATATATATATATATATATATATATATATATATATATATACTGTAAGCCGCGGAAGAAAAGAGATGAATCTTTACCACTTCACGAGGCGCATTTCTTTGAAAGTGACCACGTCGGCACCCAAATGAATTTGAACTCTGTGTATACCCACCTCCTCCGGCCGACGCATATGTGTCTAGCTAGATATATTGTTGACAGATTTTTTTATACCTAGGAAGCGAAATATATTCTACCGGATGTGAAAATTCGGTTTGCTGAAGCCTGGTTCGCCTTGAATAAAACTGACGTAATCTGGAAATCTGATCTACCACACAAACTCAAACGGAGATACTTTCGAGCCCCTCTAGAGGTGGTTTTAATATATGCTTAACTCTTTTCTGGCCTCCGGTTTTCATGTCAAATTCTTCTTCTTCTTTCATGCGCCGTGTCCCTTCAGGACGTAGGCGATCATGGCTCTCCACTTTATTTCTCAATATGTTTTGTCCTTTTACTACTTCCCCCAAACCCTGTTTTGTCATCTACTTACTTAAGCCCGCATTGCTTTCCCTTGTCTTTCTTGCCCTCTATCCACTTTGTGAGTATCAGATTCTCCAAGCCCTCCTTTCTCGTTACGTGTCCCAGTAATTTCAGCTGCCTCTTCCTAAGTATAAGCCCCCTCCTCTTTTGCATCCTCTCCAAAACGTCACCGTTGCTCACATGTTCGGTTCATGGTGTCCTTAGCATGTTTCTGTAGAAGCATACCTCCGTTGCCTTGAGTCTCTTCTTCATCTTTGAGGAGACCGTCCCACATTCGCTGCCGTAAAAAGAATACGAATATCACGTAATAGTCAGTACTTTTCTTTGTTACCAAAGAAATCCTCCTGTCTCGTAATCCTCTGCCTAGCTTTTGGAATGCGTCTTTCGCCATCTCAATAGGTCTTCGGATCTCAGCGTCGCACTTACCGTCCTCTGTCAGAACACTTCCCTGATATTTACGATCTTTTATAAGCCACTTCCATCTCATTGTTTCCAGTGCTTGCAATGCTCTCTGTTTCTTTACCTGTCATTAATCCAATAAATATTTTCATATTCATTGGGATGAAATCACTTAGAAGAAAATACGAACTGACTTGATTCACAATCTGATTAATTGCTAAGATGTTGACCAAAAATGAAATTTCTTGCGCGATATTTGAAAATCCCTGCCCTGAACCCTTCATAAAAAAATATCAGGATTTAGAATGTAATTTAATTGTAAATGCTAAACACTTCAAATACATCGCCGTGTGGATCTGTGGATCTGTTATAACAAAATTAATATAGGAGATAAGGAAATTGAACATAGGATAGGCTGCGCCAGAAGTAGTTTCTTGCAACACCGCCAGTTGCTACAAAACCAAAAGAAAAATCAACTTGAAAATTCGAGTTCTTATATAACTTCGTCAAATTCAGACTTTCATGGATTTCATGCATGACGCCAGACACATTCAGAAATATCTGAACTGTCAGCGGGATACAACCACTTTTTAAGACTAATGGTTAAAAATGCTTTCGGTGAGTAAATTCTGATGGTCTTGGTAAAGGCCATCCATCTTTGAACATTGTAGGCTAGCGCTACAGAATCACAAAAAACTTCACCAAATAACGAAAACGAAATCAAATGAGGACTATTAACAGCAGTGAAATCTCAAGTGTATAGCATTTCTAACTGGAAGAGAAAATAATGACATAATCAAGATGTTTATATTTCACGCTACTTCATATAAAAAGTTAGTTAGGAAACTCCCCCGTTGCTACTGGAAAGAACGATAACAGCTAGTGGACTTGAGAAACCTATTTTCCTGAAAAATAGTTTTAAGAAAAAAGATTTTTATAAATTTAAACCAAAAGCAGCAATGAATGCCAAAGGTTTCTGTTGTGTATGATACACCTAATTTACATAAGCGGACTACCGACCATATAAATATGGGTTGGTACCGGAAGACGGGGAAGATAGTAGAGATTAAGAAATTGAATCCAGAGACTCTGCCCGACTGCGATTTAGTCAACCCATTATGCAGGAACAGTCTTCCCAAGAATATACCAAACTAACTGTAAATATTGTGTACCTATTCTTTGTTTCAATACATTTTGTTAACGTACATTTTGTGTTGTATTATTCCATGCTTATTTAAGCTTCAACAGTTTCCTTATAGGGAAACGGCTGATTTTACTATTGCCATTTAACATGGATATTTGTCGTGTGGTCTGTTCTACGGCGCATAATGAAGAAAGGTGGCTTGGAAAATTTGATACTGACAGGACAGATTGATGGCAAGAGGGACTGAGGAAAACAATGCATGAACTGCCTTGGGAAGTTGTGGAAATGGATATTAGAACAGGGTTTAGGAGAGATATCACACTTTAACTAAGAGCGACAAAGAACAGGAAATTGTGGAGAGCCATGATCGCCAACACACTGAAGGGGCAAGACACAGAAGATGTTAGGAGCTGGAAATAAGAAGAACAGATACTACATTTTGATCCCAGCTTGATAGCTAGAATATCTACTCCCTCCCACGTGTGTCGTATGTGGCACAAAGCTGATTGTAACGTGGTTTCTCAGAGCCCGTAGGCTCGGCCAACAAATATTCCCTTTCGAACCGGTATAAACGGGTTCAGGGTCAGTCTACCTCCCCGAACGAGACTCTGCTCTTCGGCTGAGCCCCCTCCGGGTTCCTCTCTGCCCGAAGGCAGAGGGTTCGACTGTTTAGCTGAAAGAGATTTCGGCTAGACCAGCTTGATAGCTAGGCAGTGAAGAAGAGCATAATGCCAGTAGAATTGGCTGCACTGTCAATCAATACCGAATGTTTCCTTATAAGGAAACCACTAATATTACCATTTCTGTTATGAGATGCTTTCGTTTTTTTACCATTCTTTCTATCGTCTTTTACTTTGCGAGACTCTGACCTCCAATTCGTTGTTAACAACGCAATGAATGGCTTGTAAATTTTAACCCTTCCCAAGCGAAACTCCCATCATTTAATCACCGTATAGGACAATTTTTTTAAACTTCCATCTACATGACTGATGCTGACATTCAGTCGCTCTGGCTGCCCAGTCAAAGAATGCCAAATGTTTCCTTGTAGATGAAACGACTAATATTACCATTACTATTAATCAGGAATTGCCCGGAAACATTTTCCTATACCCTGTCAGATTAAGAAGATCAGACCAAAGAAATTTATTGTTCGATATCTCATCAGTCGCTCCGGACAAAACTTTGCTTTGTCATTTCTTCATAGTCATCGAAGAATATTCTCGGACCTTCATGATTTTTGACAAATATCAAAACAAGACCCGAGCAAATTTCGCAAAGAATATCTATTCATCTGATACCTATTTCTGGGCTTTTTGAAGGGGTGTAATATTTAGCAAACTTGTCTTGCTACACCAACAACAACTAAATAACGAGATAGGTCCTTCTACTTGCTCTATTCTTGTGGATTTTAGTAACATCTAAGCTCAGCTTCTTAAATTACTAAGTAAAAGCTTACAGGCTAAAATATAAACGACTAATATTTACTTTTCTTTGAACTAAGTAAATGAATATATAGACTCAAATATATACAAAAAGAATGAGTTCGTTTACACGAGAATTATGTATCCTATATAGTCTATTCTATATTTTTATCTAAGGCTTATGGCAATATCACGTTCAAACAATGGTGCCCATACAATCATCGAAGTTAAACAACATTAAGTCTGGCCAGTACCTAGATGGGTGACTGTTTGGTAATACCAAGTGCTGTCAGCTTGGATGTGAAAGTCAGGTTCATTATATTGTCTTACATGCAAAATAACCTGAGAAAAGGTATGGATCCATCTCTTATCCTCCCAGCTTTGGATTAATTAGTAACACTTGTATTACTGAAATCATTTTTATTTTTAAAAAATTATTCTTATAATTTAAAATTATTTTCTGGCTTTAAGTATTAACCTGCAAAGGGTTGATAAGGCCTAGAAATCAAATCAATCATATTTCCCTGACCTAGAAAATATGTTGTATGGTCACCTTGACAGATTATGGTTCATTTTGAAAGGTTAACACAGCTAAAATTTGAAGTTTGCTGCTTGTGATTTTTTCAGAAACTTTAGAAAATAGACTGGGCTTACGCAGACTACTGTTAAATGACTCGAGATTTGTTGACAATTTTAAGAAAGATATTCACACACAGAAAAGTTGAAACATCATATTTGTCAAACGTTTTAGAAGATACCATTCGAATCTTTAAACGATATTATATAAACCTTTAATTTCTTCACTTTAAATCAAAAAGGAAATGAAAATGTTTATGCAATATAACATTTGTAACATGTTTCGATATTAGATTAGGCAAAACCGGTTGATAAAACGTAAACAAAACAATGAAGATAAAAATTTCTGAATGACACATTGATGAACAGCAACAATTTTTCCTTTTTTATTGCTTTCATATTTTTATTGCTTTCATATTTCTAAATGACACAAAATTCAACTTGTGTTGGGCGCCATCTTAATGAAAATGAGAGCAAATTCTTGCTTTGATTATTCTTGAAGTATTTGGAACATGAGAGTTCTGGAAACGCTGCTTAAAAGAGGAAAGCAAGAAGAAAATAAGACAATTGGTCAAGAGTAAAATGAAACAAAAAATGTTATTAAAATAAAACGCTAAAGCCGAATATATATAAAAAATTAGTCGCCTATTCGTAACTATCTATTTCAGGTTTTATATATCTATATATGTATCTATATATCTATTTATCTATCTTTCTATCTATCTGCCGTTTCTTTTCTTTCTGTCTGTTCGTTCCTTTTTCTATCTACGTAGTTTGGATTATTTCTTTATCAATATATCTATTAATCTATCGATCTTTATCGTGTTTTTCTTTTCTATTTTTTATTTCTATCTATCTATCTATCTATCTATCTATCTTTTCTTTCTTTCGTGTTTGGTATCTCTTCTTTGCTTTCTGTCGTGCATTCTTTCTAACTTTTCTTTCTTATTTCTTTCGTTCTTTGTACATTTTATTTATTTCTTTGTTTTTCTTTCTTTCTTTATCTATTTCGTTTCTTTTAGCTGAGTTTTATTTTCTTACTTTATTCCGTTCTATCTATCTATCTATCTATCGATCTCATGCTTTTCTTTATCTATCTATCTATCTATTTCATCCTTTTCATATCTATCTATCTATCTATCTATCTATCTATCTATCTATCTATCTCATCCTTTTCATATCTATCTATCTATCTATCTATCTATCTCATGCTTTTGTTATCTATCTATCTATCTATCTATCTATTTCATCCTTTTCATATCTATCTATCTATCTATCTATCTATCTATCTATCTATCTATCTATCTATCTATCTATCTCATGCTTTTCTTATCTATCTATCTATTTCATCCTGTTCATATCTATCTATCTATCTATCTATCTATCTATCTATCTATCTATCTATCTATCTGCTTTTTGCCCTTTCTTTCATTCTTTCGGCCTAGCCATCTTTCTTTTCATTCTTTCTTTCGTTTTATCTATCTATCTATCTATCTATCTATCTATCTATCTATCTATCTATCTGTCTGTCTGTCTGTCTGTCTGCATTTTGCCCTTTCTTTCATTGTTTCGGCTTGGGTATCTTTCTTTACATTATTTCTTTCGTTTTATCTATCTATCTATCTATCTATCTATCTATCTATCTATCTATCTATCTATTCCTTTTCTTTCCTTCTTTCTTTTTTTCTTTCTTTCTTTATTATTACTTTATTTATTTCTGTCTGTCAAACGAGAGGAAGTGTGATTGATTCAGCTAACACATGTAACACGCATACAATGAAAGTAATACTCGTGTACAAAAAACTAAAAAATATCAACAAACTCGGACGTATTGTTTCCAGTATTTGATGGATTCCAACATGCATGCAATTTTTGGTTAAGACATCTCTGTGTAAAAAGATCATTATTCGAAAAGAAAAGAATCTTTTTAAAAATTCAAATTAGACGAGTTGAAAATGAATATCCGAAAATGAAAAAAATAAAATGAATGCACACACGCATATTTCATTTTCTCCATGAAACTGTAGATTCTTCTGTAGAATACAGAAGCAGATACTCCCCATGTAATTTGATGTTGTATAGTTTCAGCAACAAGTAGCTTTTCACAGGGTGGGGGAGTTTGCTAGCTCCTCACCAAACAGATTTTGATTTTAATGTTGGCCTTCGAATACAGTTGCTAGCCAAGGTTAAAGGGTCAAGTCTACATTGTAATTTCACTGTTAAGTCGCGAAAAAAAAAGATGATTCTTTACTCCTTGACGAAGCGCATTTGTTCCAAAGTGAACACGTCGTCTCCCAAATGAGTTTAACCTCTGTGTATACCCCCGCCGACACACACGAGTCTAGCTAGATAGATTGTAGACATCTGAATCTTTTTTATATAAATAGGAAGCAAAATAAATTCTTTGGGAAAGCATGAGAAAATTCGCTTAGCTAAAGCCTGGGCCGCTTTGAATAAAACTGATGTAATCTGGAAATCTGATCTCCCAGATAACCACAAACGGGGATACTTTCGAGCCACTGTAGAGATGGATTTAATATACGCTGACACTGCTTGGAAATTAACTAAACCTCTAGGGTCTAAGCTTGATGGAGCCTACACTTGGATTTTGAGAACTATACCTAATATCTCTTGGAGACAATATCCAACTAAATCGCGGCTTTATGGATCCAACACCGATATTTCTACAATTTTGCGTGAATGTAGAAGGCGCTTCGCAGGTCACTGTTGGCGAGCAAAGCAAGAACTTGCGAATGACTTACTGCTCTGATCATTTACCCATGGTGCAAAACAAGCGAGTCTTTGAGTATAATTCCACTATATGTAGCATTTAATTTAAAAATACACTCGCCAGTAGTTTAAAATCTCCCGAGGAGGCATATTTATGGTCTCAAAATATAATTGCCATTATGTAGCTATTTTTAACATGTCTTATATATATATATATATATATATATATATATATATATATATATATATGCGGTGTGGTGGATACCGGCTCTGATTGAGAAATCGGAGAGCCGAGTTCGAATTCTACTCGAATCCATTACATTCATTTGCATGCTATTACCATTGAGAAAGTTATGAATCCTCTTCATCTTCCCCCAGCAAATAGCAAGACAGAGTGGGTTCTACAGCATTGGGTGGCAATCTGAATAGGACAATGACAACTCTGAATTCAAAACCTGCAGAGGGCTGTTTGGGACCCTTGTGGTACGTGGTGCAACAAACCTCTGTATTCGGCTTTCCAAAATGTGCGGTTGGTTCTGCACAAAACCTTCACCATTATAATCAAATCATATGTGCAGATGTCTGGATGTCGTTTCCTAGGAACTGAGTGCTTGACCCTGACACCTCGAAAAACACCTCGAAATATGGCGACAAAGATGAGGACAATAGTCCGAATAATGTAAATAGTGCACATGATACTTCATCTCAGAAATATAGACAGATACTGAAAGGCCGAAACGTTGTAATAAATATGGCGACGAAGATGAGGACAATAGACCGAATAATGTAAATAGTGTACATAATTCCTCATCTCAGAAATATAGACAGATACTGAAAGGCCGAAACGTTGTAATAAATATGGCGACGAAGATGAGGACAATAGACCGAATAATGTAAATAATGTACATAATACCTCTTCTCAGAAATATAGACAGATACTGAAAGGCCGAAACGTTGTAATAAATATGGCAACAAAGATGAGGACAATAGACCGAATAATGTAAATAGTGTACATAATACCTCTTCTCAGAAATATAGACAGATACTGAAAGGCCGAAACGTTGTAATAAATATGACGACAAAGATGAGGACAATAGTCTGAATAATGTAAATAGTGTACATAATACCTCATCTCAGAAATATAGACAGATACTGAAAGGCCGAAACGTTGTAATAAATATGACGACAAAGATGAGGACAATAGTCTGAATAATGTAAATAGTGTACATAATACCTCATCTCAGAAATATAGACAGATACTGAAAGGCCGAAACGTTGTAATAAATATGGCGACAAAGATGAGGACAATAGACCGAATAATGTAAATAGTGTACATAATACCTCTTCTCAGAAATATAGACAGATACTGAAAGGCCGAAACGTTGTAATAAACATGGCGACAAAGATAAGGACATTGGTCCGAATAATGTAAATAGTGTACATAATACATCATCTCAGAAATATAGACAGATACTGAAGGGCCGAAACTTTGTAATAAATATGGCAACAAAGATGAGAACAATAGTCTGAATAATGTAAATAGTCTACATAATACCTCATCTCAGAAATATAGACAGATACTGAAGGGCCGCAAGGTGGTAAAAAATATGACGACAAAGATGAGGACATTTGTTTAAATAGAACCAGCAAGGATTTTCTGTTTATTATACTTTTATATCTTCCAGATAATGTGTTGAGTATAATATAATATTCTATGTTGTCGATATATCCAATATATATGGCTGGAAAGATAGAATGTCCCTTTCCGAACTTGAAATTGTAAAGAAAACAGGGCAAGTAATCTCGAAATGAAAAGACAAATATATATGTGTATGTAAATGAATTGAAAAGGCACACTTCGAATCATATGGCAAACATAGGATGGCAGTGCCAAGAAAACCGTCTGGTTTCAAGGTTTTTCATTCTACCGAAGTCTGTGTTGGCCTTATCGAATGCCTTCCCCTACACACTCGATAACGTGAACATCTTTATTTCCGTTCGCTGTCATTTCTTATCTCAGTTACCGTGATCTAATTTTGTTCCCTATCAGACTCCATAGTTTGTTGGAAATTAATGGCGCTCAACTTCAGTAGAAGACATCGGAATCTCAAGAGATTTATAGAAAATCATGGAACAAAAGATAAACAGAGCAAACCAAAAAGAAAGAGAGAGACGAATAAATAAATAGCAAACAAATACAATACATCTGTTTAATCATTGGCTTCCTACGCGTGGTGTATTAAATAAAATCCGCCCAGTCTGAAAAAGAATGTCAATATATTCTGATTAGCGTCGCTATATATATTTGAATCGCGTAGATTTTGTAATTAATTAAATCTAGGCTTGAGAAGGATAACGTTAAGACATGGATATATTTACTAAGTTATCAACGAGAAAAGATCCTTATTCATAAGAAAAAGTAGCCAAGTTATCGACACTCTAGAAGAGGAAGGTATTTTATCAATCAACACAAGGAAAAAATTAAAAAAGGATTAATATTTATAACGACTGAAACTAACGACCATTAAAACCCAACCCCCAGAGTTGGTCGGATAATAGAATGTATGTTCTCAGTTAGTCACCGTGATGCTTAAACGTTCTATTGCAGCTGTTGTGAATATGGCAATGAAGATGAGGATAACAATCCGGATAATGTAAATTATGTAAGTAATCATAATACCTCATCTCAGAGATATAGAGGCTGAAACGTTGTGAATATGGCAACGAAGATGAGGATAACAGTCCGAATAATGTAAATAATGTAAGTAATCATGATACCTCATCTCAGAGATATAGAGGCTGAAATGTTGTGATTATGGCAATGAAGATGAGGATAGCAATTCGAACAATTTTAGTAATGTATGTAATTATGATACCTCATTTCAGAGATATAAAGGCTGAAACATTGTGAGTATGGCAAGAAAGGTGAGGATAATAACCTGAATAATGTAAATAATGCAAGCAATCATAATATTTCATCTCAGAGATATAGAGACAACAAATTTTCTGTCCAAGAAAGAAAATAAGGCCCAATAGCCACTTAATATATGCAGACATGTATGTACGGCCACTTCTACTAGGGCAGCTAACAAATCCCTATTACAGACGTATGCTCAGGCGCAATGGTGTTTATTCAACACCTACAGAGCCCACCTCTGGATTGTACTGCAATTATGCAGAGCAGACCTTATTTACAGTTTCTGGGAAAGAGCGTGTTAACTAGAGTGATCAGCAATTTGAACAAGAACAACACGCTCATGCCCTCGGCCACGATGACTTGCCTGTGATTCCGTGGTAGGACAGCTATCGACGGCCACCAATGGTACAGTCCACCCAATTTCACTCACAAGACTTGGGTCAACTCGTGGTATGGTTTTCAGGCATATTCCAAAGTCCGATAACTTAAGGAAGTCTCCACTGCTGACAAATCAACCGGGTCTCAGGGTCAAATCGGTTAAAAGCACGTCAAGCTAAATTACGGTTCCGTATAGGATACAGGTTCGAATCCTGTCGGTGGACGAATATTTTCTGCGAAACTTTCTCGGACATTCAGGCCGGTAAATGTTGTTTAATACTGTTTATTATAAACAGAGCATTTACTTAAATATTTGTATCTATTAAAAGAATGTATAAACATAAAAATGTCTTAAAATAATTGTCGGACTTTGTCCATTTCATAAATTGTGACGTGGTTTGCTTACATTTGATACTCCATGAGCAGATATGAATGTACGTGAGAGATTCATAGAAGATTGAAGTTCAAATACAGTAAATTCGACCTGGCTAACCGAACGCTCTGTAGCCAAATCGGTTAAGAAAAAGCTTTAATGATTAAAATCCTATCATATATATATATATATATATATATATATGGTTGGATAGATGTGACTCTATCTCTGTTATTGAGCGCTTTCTAATAAGTACCGCGCATATGATATATAAATGATTATACATATATATATTTATTTATATTTATATACACTTTTCACACAGATATATATATATATATATATA